GTGGAAATAACATGTAATCAAATAAATTATACTATGTGTAAACTAAAATATGTAAATAATAAATAAAAACATAACCGCTCCGATACCTGTGATCACCCTCTATAGAAGTTTGAAAATGTTTGAAGAGATATAGTAGATCATTGAAGATAGAAATTCTCTAACATAACAGGCCATATGTATAAGGTTTTGTATGGCTAAACCTTGGTCCTGCCTGAAATATTTGGTCAGAAGTATATATTAGACAAGTGCTCTCATCCTGGATACCTGATATTACTATCATCTATATATATTCAAGAAGAATTTTCATGGAGTTGGTTTTTTTCCAATTTCTATTTATACTAAAAACTGCAATCAGCTTATCCTTTTCAAAAGATTGGTATAAGATGATTGTGTCATATTGAAAATAAGATCCCCATTATAAAAAAGATCTACAGGCTATATTATGATAACAAACTGATTTCCAGGCCCAGTATACTCAAAACCTGACTCTCTTAGCTATACCAATTAAATTATATTATCCTCCCTAGCAAAAATCTAAATATGGACACACCTATAAAATATAAGTTGATATCTAGATAAAAAATTGCAATAGACTACAATTAACTTACTTATTATATATGTAAAGATTATTAATGTAATGACTATAAACTAAAGTTTAATAAATGTCTCACATTTAATATCTGTTTACAAAAAAAAATAATAATAATAATTTTAAAAATAAACTTGAAAAAAAAATCAACAATAAAAAATCAATTTTTTTTTTTTAATTAAAAATCTTTAAATATAAATTATTTATTTTTTATTATGAATAAACATTAAATACAAAACTTTATTTAAATAAAAATTTATTGTTATTATATTAATAATTTTTACAAAAGTAAATTAATTGTAACTTATTATAACAAATCTATTGAAATATAAAGTTTAAAAAATATTTTTTTAAAAATATCTTTAAATATTCTTATATATTGTTATTTTAATAGTTTGATCAATTATAGATAATAAAAAGTAAATATATTATCAATTATAAAGAATTTGGATTTTGTTTACTAAAATAATATTTTCAATAATAGTTAAAATAAATAATAATATATTTTTTTATCTTTTCTTTTTATATATATTTATCTTTTTTATAATTTTTTTATCTCTCTTCCCTTATATAAGTTCTGCAAGAGAAGAGTAATATAATTTGGATTTATAATTATAACTGTAAAAGTGATCTGCAGTCTTGAATTTTAATTTTATTTATTAAAGAAACAATATATTATCTTCATAAATCATATTTAAAGATTTTGATTGTTGATAAATAAGTTGAATTGAAATTTTATATTTCTTATATTTGTGATGGTTTTATGATTTAATAAATAAATGATCCAGCCTGATTGCAGGTATTTTTTAATAAAGCATAAATCGATATTTTTATTAAAAAAAATTTTTTTTTAGTTACAATAATTATAGTTAATAAACTGGGAAAGTCTAGGCTTTCTTGTACTACTACTCGAATTGCATTTTTTTACACATGATCTAATATCAATTCCGGAAGTTTTATATTTGATTTTTCGGATTTCGACATGAGTGAAGAAACAAACGGCGACATTCAAATCACCGAGGTATCAGAAGAGAACAAAATCAAAGCGGATGAAGCAAGAGATGCGGCAAACATACTGTTTAGGGGTGGGCAATTAACTACTGAATAAAACTTTGAATTAATTTACAGTCAGAGGATATTGTGAATTACAAACTATGCTTATTTAGCAAAGAAATTCGAGGCCGCGACAGAAAAATACACGGAGGCAATTAATTTGAACCCTAATGTAGCAGCTTATTATGCCAACCGATCCTTTGCTTACTTTAAAACGGAAGCATATGGTTATGCGGTTGCGGATGCAGAAAAGGCCGTTAAAATAGATCCAAAGTACATCAAGGTGTTTATTTGACTCGTTGGTATAAAAATTATACGAGAATTATATAAGATTAAATTAAGTTTTTTAATTATAGGGTTATTATAGACGAGCAGCGGCGAATATGGCATTGTGCAAATTTAAAGACGCACGTCGGGATTTTCGAATTGTAGGACTTTGTTTGAAAACAACACTAAAACCCTGAATACTCTTACAATTTTGATTATTCATGGTAATCCGAAGCCTGTCCATTTTGACAGGTTGTAAAAAAAGCACCAGGCGACAAGGATGCGAAGGACAAATTAGCAGAATGTGAAAAAATTATAAGAAAGATTGAGTTTGAAAAGGCCATCGAGGTACCAGGCTTTTAAATATTTTGATTTATTTAATAATTGATATATTAATAAAAATGTTTGTGCATGTAGGTAGATTCCCCAGATAAGAAACTAGCTAAAACTTTGAACGTGGACTCCATTGGTGAGTTCTTTGTATAGAAACGAGACTGTAAAAAATAAGATATCATTCTGGATTATTTCACCATTATCTTGTTATTAACAAATTTTTATGCGAAGTGGTGGAACCCTCTTACGACGGACCGAGGATTGAAGATGGGAAAATCACAAAGGAGTTTATTGAGAAAGCTATGGAATACTTCAAAAATCGAAAGAGAATTCATAGAAAATATGCATACCAAGTTTGTATTTTATGTTCTATGTTCTTTCATTTAACATGTGGATTTATACCAATAACTGAAGATTTTTATAAATAGATAATTATAGCCGTTCAAAAGATTATGTCAGAAACTCCTTCATTAGTTGAAATCACCATACCCCAAGACTGTAAATTGACTGTTTGCGGAGATATCCATGGTAGGAATCTGCTACGTTTATGCATTGTATCAATTCGTGATAGTATTCTAAAATGCGATTTTTATTTAGGTCAATTCTATGACTTACTGAACATTTTTAAGATTAATGATTTACCATCCGAAAAGAATATGTATCTTTTCAATGGAGACTTTGTAGACCGTGGATCGTTTAGCATCGAGGTTATATTAACCTTATTCGCTTATAAATGGCTTTACCCTAATTCCTTCTACTTAACGCGAGGAAACCACGAAACGGACGACATGAACAAGGTTTATGGATTTGAGGGAGAAGTTAAAGCCAAATTTGAAGAATCAATGTTTAGATACTTTTCTGAAACTTTTAGTTCCCTACCACCTGCACATCTTATCAATCAAAAAATATTGGTCGTACACGGTGGATTGTTCAGTCGTGATGACGTCACTTTAGATGATATTCGAAAGATCGATCGATTCGATAAAAAGCAACTTGAAAGTGATAGTCTTCTACGTGAACTCCTGTGGTCTGGTAATAAAATAATTTCTTACCGTGTTCATAGTTGAAATATTTGACATTGATGTTGCTGACCATTCATCGCAGATCCTCAGCTGTTACCAGGACGTAGTCCGAGTAAGAGAGGCGTAGGAATACAATTTGGGCCAGATATCACTGAAAATTTCTTGAAACGCAATAACCTTGGTATGTTTTGATGTTTTGAATAGTTTTTTTTAACAATTCTATTGTTATCTTATCAACTACTTTTAATGTAATTTTATTTTATACTTGACTTAGATCTTTTAATACGAAGTCATGAAGTCAAAGAAAATGGATACGTAATTGAACATAACGGCAAATGTATTACTGTATTTTCTGCGCCAAACTACTGGTAGGAAATCATGAAATGTTCTTTACCATTCAATAATAATTCCTTACTCATCTCACCCACCCAATAGTGATTCCATGGGTAACAAAGGAGCGCTCATTAATATTACTCCAGATTTGCAGTTGAGCTATAAGACGTTTGAAGCTGTGGTATGTGAGGTTTCATTCAGAAAAAGTCGGTCTAAAAAACATGTATCTGATAATCATTCATTTATGATTTCTACAACTAGCCTCATCCTGATGTTCGACCTATGGCTTATGCGGCACACTTTGGTGGTTTATTTTAATTGTTGATGTGTACTAAATTGTGTGGCCTTCTTATTTCTAAATTACGAATCAAACTCTCCCTCATTTGATTTATTACATAAGAATGCCGTACTAAATTTAGTTTGTCATCACTTATTTAAATTTTTCAATTTTTTGCTTATACTAATTCACAAAATAAAGTTTTAAAATTTGGAAACAAGAGAAAAATAAAATCTTGGTATTATTTTAACAAATTTAATTTGAATTGTTGAAGTTATATTTTAAATGTATAATACTTTTTATTAAAAATTTTTTTTGATTATAAAAACCAATAACAAGTTATTTTAAATTTTTTGGAGAAATTTTTGACTTATATTATTATTTGTTAAGATGAAATTTGTCTTATGATTTTTATTAAAAGATTAAATGTTAATTAGTTTTTTTATTTTTCTTATTTTTGTTTTTAAACATCAACTGGACCTTGTTTTATTAAAGATTTATATTGTATATGTATTATATTTGTATATTATACAGAGTTTACCATGTTCAAATAAATCCATATCTAAATTTAGTCTAAGCTATCCAAATATATAGACTTGTTACTATTAGCTTATTTGAAGACAAAAACCTGAACTAACATGTCAAGACTCTATTAGCTTGTATTAAATTTTTTATGATTTTATTTTAAAGGAATTTATTAAAAAGAAGAAAAAAAATTAAGGGATAATATCCTATTTGGTAAATAAATAAAACCTTATAATTATATATTTTCTGATCTATTAGAAATAATCTTTTATTATTATCTATAGTAAATTAATTATTTAATTTCTTGTACTTCTAAATATCATTCAAGAATATTTAAAATAAACATATAATTAATACTTATTAAATAGTTTTACATTTCTACTGCTATATAAATTTTATAGCTAAATATTTTTTTGAAATAAATAATATTAAAATAATTTGTTATTGAATTAAGATAAAACTTTAACAAATTTTTTGCAAAAAAAATATCAAATATTATAAGAAATAATTATTAAATCTATTAACTGAAAGTAAATACTATATTAACTTCTGACATTACAATTTTAATACTTATTAATAAGATTTTTAATAGTATCATTTCAGTATCAAGTTGGATACTAAACTTACTATGAATTTAATATAGTGGGTTACAATATATACAATTCGTCTAAAAAGTCTTTGAACAAATATTTTTTATA